GTGTTAGTCTCCCTATTTGTTGCTTTATGTTCCCCAGATGAATGCAATCTTTCTGTGTCTATCCCGCTCTTTCTGACTCATTTCGCTTAACATGATACTTTCCATGTAGCTTCATTTTTAAAAGGAAACTCAAGGTTATATCCACTGCCATGTCAACTCATTTGCCCATACCATGGAAGTAAGTCCCTGAACAGCGCAGCTCATAGGCAGTCTCTGGACATCTCCTAATTCCTCAATGCTGAAATTCCAGTTGGAGGATACCAAATTAGATGGGAAAGGAAACAAAAATAAAAGCATAAAAGCAAACTCTACTTAACAAACAAAAATCATAACAGAGAAGGCTAAACTTGCAACAAAAAATTTTGTAAGTTCTTAGATAAGGACTTAAAACGTCCATGATGAATTATAACAAATTTCACATTAAAAGTTGATTTTAGTACTTATCAATTTTAATTTTAAAACTTTGTTACCTAATTAATTTTAATTCTAGAACTGCATCAACAGTTACGGCTTTTGTCTCAATTAAAATAAATTTAAAAAATATACAAAATAAAGGAAATTCATAACTTGAGATGTGCTTAACTTAAAAAACATTGTCAGTTGTAGTCCTTAACTCCCATTGAGTCTTGCACAAATTACTTAAGCTGATGTATCCTTTTCACCCTGCATGAATCTTCACACTAACCTCCTAATGACATAAACATAAATTGTCCGAATGTCACGCAATTCCGGACAATAAGAGCTACACACACACAAAAAAATGTCTTATTGTGTTCATTACTACACCATGGGCTGGAGCAATAGCACAGAGGGTAGGGTGTTTGCCTTGCATGCAGACAACATGGCCGACCAAGTTCAATTCCTCCACACCTCTTGGAGAGCACAGCAAGCTACTGAGAGTATCTCGCCTGCACAGCAAAGCCTGGCAAGCTACCCTTGACGTATTCGATATGCCAAAAATAGTAACCACAAGTCTCACAATTTGTTGTGAGATGTTACTGATACCACTTGAGCAAATCAATGAACAATGGGAGGACGGTGCTACAGTGCTACTACACCATGATCATTGTAACAGCATCTGTGTTTCCTATGGTATTAGGCTCTAGAAAAATGAATTGTTAATTCTATCATTTTTGATTTGTTTTGTTTTCTGGGAGACTTTAATTCCACATTTAAACATGTAATTTCCTTCTGCATGTTGATCAAAGGGGCTGGAGCGATAGGACAGCGTTAGGGCGTTTGCCTTGCAAGCAGCTGGCCCAGCCGAGCCAGGTTCGATTCCTCCGCCCCTCTTGGAGAACCTGGCAAGCTACCGAGAGTATCTCGTCCGCACGGCAAAGCCTGGCAAGCTACCCATGACGTTTTCAATATGTCAAACACAGTAACAATAAGTCTCACGATGGAGACATTACTGAGCCCGCTCGAGGAAATTGATGAATAATGGCAGGACCGTGACCGTGATGTCGATCAGAATGTGTATGAATACAATTAGTATTATATTTGATGACAAAAAAATGATACTGTAGCAATGTCCTCCCGTTGCTCACCAATTTGCATGAGCGGGCACTAGTAATGTCTCCATTGTGAGAATTGTCACTGTTTTTGTTATATTGAATATTTCACGGGGAGCTTTCCAGGCTTTGCCTTGCGGGAAAGATACTATTAGTAGTTGGGGGGCTCTCTGAGAGGGACAGAGGAATCGAACCCAGATCAGCCACGTACAAGGCAAACACCCTACCCACTGTGCTATCGCTCCAAGAAAAAATAAGATTTTGAAAATCAAATATTTGCTCTACTTCAAGCATAAAGGGAATATATTAACATAGAAAATGATCTAGCAATACAAGTACAGACTGAATGTTGAAAGGGCAATGATTTAAAAAATACATCATGACCAAATCAGGGAACTTGCAGAGATTCTGAAGATTGTCTTTTTTTCCTTTTCATTTTGTGTTATTTTTTTCAATTCCTTGGTTATATTCTTAAATGTTAGAAACTGAAAATTACCTAAATACAAGCTCAGATTTATTTTAAATGCATGACTGAAATCTAACAGTGAACTTACCTTATTTCACCATGACACGGTAGACATTATGCCACTTGGAGCAAGGGGCATTAGGAAAAAATGGTACTGACCTTTATGAGAAGCTTTCAGAATAATGAGGTCAGTGTTAAAAAAATGACAAAACAGGGTTTTATGTTTATGTAAAAAAAAGCAGTAAATAAGAAGAGGCTTACTTTCTTGGTCTGAGAAATATAGGACTGGAATGGCTATTAGTGATGGAATATTTCAGAAAGACCTTTTTTATTTCTGTCCATCTAAAATGGAAATAAATATTCATTCTTACGGCTGCTGCATTTCCATATCATATCCATGTAATAAACAGAGAGAACGAAAAATGGCAGTGAATGCAAAATGGGGACCAATTCTGTTTTCAAGTCAGAAAACCTGCACTTTTCCCTTGAAAGTCTATACCATTGACCTCTTCATTACCACTGGCTATAGTTTGGTACCATGGCCCTATCTAGGTGCAAGGAATTGCTGAAAGATGAATAACTCAGAACACTGTCTTGGTGGGTAAAACAACCACGACCGAGATCTTTTAGTACTGCAAATATAGACTGAAGAGTAGATGAGTAAGTGGACCCATTCAAAGGGAAACAGCATGAGTCTATGTGTTTATGCAAATGCCACCATATATTTGCATAGATAGCAGGGTTGGAAGAACACTAAGTGTTATATCAGCAATTGTGTTATCTAGCAGGATTATAAAGTTATCCCCTAATTTTGTCCCCTGCTTCTGACCTCATCCCTAAAACACTTGCAGTGGACATTGACAGACTTCTTCTATTGTAGGCACAGTGTACTAAATATTTCACATGGCCGGACTTAATCTGCTCCGGAGACACCTGTGCTCTGTTTTGAACAATTCCTTCTCTTTCTGCATTTATTTCAACAAAAAAACTATTTTGCTTCACATGCACACACAAAAATCTGTGCAGTTGCTTATAACTATGAAACTTTTTTGTTGCAATGCATTAACTACCATAGGCAATATTAAAATTGAACTTGTCTTTTTCTAGTAACCAATACTTACAAAAATGAACAGACTGTTAGATTTCTCTCTCCTGTCTGCCAGCCCCAAACCCAAATTACTCTATATGAGTGAACATAAAATGTTCATGTTTACATCCAAAATAAGTAGAATTATTCAAGTAAGGCCTATAATGAAGCACATATGAAATAACGCATGCATAGCTGACTTAAATGTATTATTTTTTTACTCTACTCTCTTAATCCAGAGACTAATAAACTCAAAACCACTATCATAGGTAAACCGTTGTTGGCTCAGGAAGAGCCTATGCCCAACAAGACCCCACAGCTTGCAGTAATAGATGCCCACACCCACCCTTCTGGACCACCTGGGCAGGAAGGAGAAGCTAGAGAAAACATGCAAACTTGCTCTTTCTTTTGCAATCGCTATCTTTTGAGGATATCTAGGATTGAGAAGAAGGGTGAGAAACCACTAGAACATCCTGGGATAAGTAAGATGGCACCTTTGGGCAACCTAGTTATAGAACCCACCAACATGATTTTTCTCTGTAGTGTGTAACCCACAGAAATGCAAACAGTGACAAAAACAGCAACTATAAGATTTGAAGTTTCTTTGATACAGGGTCTTGCTTTGGCCTGCGTGCCTGACGGCTCGACCCCAGCTAGCTGGCTTGAATAAACTCCACGCGTGGCTTGCATTACTGTCTGGACACATTGGGCGGCCCCAGGCAGGGGGGCACGGAGGTCTCCTATTCTAGAACCCTGACAACTGTATTTCATTTGTATTTATGAAATTCATCCTGTGAGATAAAAATAAATGAGTAGGGATCTGTGAGTTGTCAAGGGTACCAGATCAAAAGAGTGATAGACTAAACAGTGTAAAATTTGCATTTGCATTAGGAGACTCCAGATTAATGCCTTTCAGATATTTTTATCAAGCACACATTTTGAAAAACTACAGAAGTATTGTTTGCACATCTTTAAAGCAGTGTTCAAAATTCTTCACAGTGTTGTACATTTTAAAGTAAATATAATATATGAGTGTTCAAGAGTATCAGGGATTTTACAGATTATTGAAGCTATTATTGGAACTATGTGTTATTATATAAATATTTGTGCAGAAATCATGTTTAGAGGTGTCACTAAGTGGTGCTTTAAGGATACTCCAGTTTCAGTACTCTGTGGAGTACCTTCAAAGTGCTCAAAGGGCCGTGATATTCTGGGCAAAGCTTTTATATATATATATATGTATATATATATAGTAAAGTAAAAGTAAAGACCCTCCCGTTGATCATCGATTTGCTCGAGCGGGCCAAGTAACGTCTCCATTGGAGACTTTGTTGTTACTGTGTCTGGCATATCGAATACTCTTGGTAGCTTGCCGGGCTCTCCGAGAGGGGTGGAGGAATCGAACTCGGGTTGGCCATGTTGGTTGTGTGCAAGGCAGACGCCCTACCCACTGTGCTATCGCTCCAGCCCATATATATATATATATATATATATATATATATTGCCTACACAAAAAGTTATTATATTTTATCAATTACCAAATATTTAAGGCAGCAAAATATTTCAGATATTCTGTTCTTTACCATGCAAATTATCATCCTGAATTTGTTAGTTTGTTATATACAATATATAAGAAGAATTTATGTCTTCAAAGAACTGTGATAATTAGGCAAGAATTGCAGGTGTTTTCCCATTAATGATTTTTCCCCTTGAGATGAAACTGTAACTTGCACTTATATGATCAGAAGTTACTCTTGATCTATATTATAATAGCTAGATTCAATATTCTAAACTCTTTAAACCACCAGTGAAGTACGAAAACTTTACATTCTATCTGCAAATTTCTCCATGTACACAACTTTTGACAGCCGTATAACAATAACTTTGGGGCCCTCAAACATGTTAAGCACTAATATAGAAAGGTGATTTTTCTTACCCATGTCTGACATTTCAGGCACAGTAACAATGTAGGGCCCATCTGTGAACTTCGGCGCATTATCGTTGATGTCTTGCACTTTTATGATGAACTCGGATTCAGGTTCTAGAGGCTTGTTGGTCCGTCTGTCAATTGCCTGGGCATGAAGCACATAATGCGTCTTCTGCTCTCGGTCTAGGCTTTTGGTTGAGTGGATGTCACCCGTGGTGTCATCGATGATAAAAATAGTCCCGGCACCTTCTCCAGTAAGGATGTACTTGACAGACCCATCCCCTTTGTCAGAATTGGAGTGCAGCTGTAAAACATAAGTGGAATAATTGAAGACGTGATACTACTCCACCCTCACAAGTTATTCTCAGAAAATTGCTCATCTGTATTTAATATTGAGTTCATGGCTTTCTTTACTTAACTCTGCACTCTGTTACTGTACCATTTATTTTTCTGCATGTACTCTAATGGGTCTTAAAATGAATACCTTTGTTATTATGACGAGCGATCCAATTATTGATTTCAGAGAAATTGGTAGAAAATGTTTATAGCAATTACCCTTGATGTATTTCTATAATCTCAACACTTAGTCAATGACATAGACTAGAATTAGGAATAAAAAGTAAAAATGATGTCCCATTCCAAACATGTTTGTCTATTTTTTTTACATAAAACAGTTTACATTAAATTTCAACTTTTAAATTAGAAAAATATTGATAGGAAAAGTTGAGATTTCAATTAATGTTTATAGTTTAAGCAAATCATGTTAGTCACAGACACACTGGTTTTAAAACAAATATATTTCTCAAGATTATTTAGAGTTAAAATTATTTTTGTTAACTTTTGGAGTACAAAGTAATTATATTAGAAGAGGTTTCCTTTAAAAAAATTCATGAAACTGGGGGCTGGAGTGATAGCCCAGCAGGTAGGGCATTCACCTTGCACGCGGCCAACCCAGGCCGTTTTCAATCATCCCATATGGTCCCCTGAGCACTGCCAGGGTTGATTCCTGAGTGCAGAGCTAGGATTAAGCCCTGTGCATTGCTGGGTGTGACTCAAAAAGAAAATAAATGAATAAATAAAAAATCAAAATAAAAATCATAAAACTTTGGGGCCAGTGGGATAGTAAGTGGCCAAGGTCCTTACACTTGGCCAACTTGGGTTCAATCCCAGGAAATCCATCCTAAGTACCACCAGGAGTAATTCCTGAGTACATATCTGAGTGTGACCCAAAATTAACTAAATAAATAATAAAGTAAAAGGTCTGTGTTTCAGAGACTGGCTCACATCCACAAGAACAAAAGCAACCGATGCTGGTGCAGATGTGGTGAGAAAGGGAGGGACCCTCCTTCACTGTTGGTGGGAATGCCGACTGGTTCAGCCCTTCTGGAAAACAGTATGGATGATTCTCAAAAAATTAGAAATTGAGCTCCCATTTGACCCAGCAATACCACTCCATATCCCAGAGAGGCAAAGAAGTATAGTCGAAGTGACAACTGCACTTGTTTGTTCATCGCAGCACTCTTTACAATAGCCAGAATCCGGAAAAAACCTGAGTGCCCGGGAACAGATGAATGGTTAAAGAGACTTCAGTACATTTACACAATGGAGTACTATGTAGTGGTTAGAAAAGATGAAGTCATGAAATTTATCTACAAGTGGTACTACATGGAAAGTATCATGTTAAGCAAAATGAGTAAGAAAGAGAGGGATAGACATAGAAAGATTGCATTCATCTGGGGAACATAAAGTAACAAAATAGAAGACGAACACCCAAGAATGTCTGAGATTAGTACCAGGAATTTTGCTCCATGGCTTGGAGGCCAACCACACATGCTAAGGGAAAAGGCAGCTCAGAGAGAGAAGGGAGCACCAAATAAAGTGTGTTGGGAGGATTTTCCCAGGATGGGAGAAGCATGTCTGAAAGTAGACTATAGACCAAACATGATTACCACTCAATGGCTCTTTTGCAAACCATAACACCCAAAAGGAGAGAGAGAACAAAGGGGAATGCCCTACCACAGAGGCAGGGTGGGATGGGGGGCTGGGATGTGGGAGAGATACTGGGATCCGTGGTGGTGGGAAATGGGCTCTGGTAGAGGGATGGGTATTTGATCATTGCATAATTGAGACCCAAGCACAAAATTTGTAAGTCTACAACTGTACCTCATGGTGTCTCACTAATAATTTTTTTTTTAAAAAAAGGTCTGTGTTTAAAAAAAATCATGAAATTTTGACTTCAAATATAATAAGTAGATCTTATCTTTCAATTAATTTAACTATGCTTGTAAATTATCACTTATTAAATAATAACCATCAAACCTTTGGGTAGATATAAGAAAAAGTATGCTTCAATTTTGAATATAATTTAATTAAAACCATATTATTTACTTACAAACTATTTATCAATTGAACTTTAAAAATGTTTTTAAATTTTGTTAATACTTAATATTCTACTATGTTATAGCATCAAAATTCTATTATATATATGTATGAGCATCACTTCTACAATTCTGGACAGAATTATCTTCAGTGCCTTTCAAATCACAAGTACATTTTAAAGAATTATTTCTCCCAAGAGATCTGAGCAGTTATCCTTCCTCCGTAACCTTCTTGGTCACATAACCTCGACTACTCACCTTTAGCTCAGTTCTGACACTTGGAAACGTTTTAAAAAATATAACCTTGCTCACATCGCATTTAGATTTCTGTCAAAGTAAAGTGAAAATTTTCAAGGTTTACTTTAAAGTCTCTGAACTCTTAGAAGATATTTTTAAAAAGCAAAATAGAGAAAAAGACAATACAAAGGAAGAACTATTTTATAGGACAATAAAAGCAATTGGAACATAAATGATAATACATGATAAATGAGTTTAATTTCTTGAAAACACATTACATAAAAAGCCATTAAATTCTGATGGAAATCATTCAAAGAATCAACAAATTAAAGCATTTCAAAATTGCTTTACCAGTGGCTGGAATGATAGTACAGCTGGTAGGTGGATAGATGCCTGATATCCCATATGGACTCCAAATCCCAAAGACCACTAGGAGTGAACCTTGAGTGCAGAACCAGGAGTAACTCATGAGTATTGTTTATGTTCCCAAAAATAATTCTAAGTCCCCTTTTTTTAGAGTTCCAAAAAAAAGGGTGGGGTATAATAAAACCTTAGCTTCAAACATTCTAATTAATTTATCAGTAAATTAACTGTTAAAAAACTATGCAGAGTGTGAGAAAGTTCAAAGGCCTTGAATGCATTATTGGAACATAGAAGCTCTGAATTCTATCTCCCAACAGCACATGGGCCCTTAAGCATCGCCAGAATGACCACCAGACTTGGAAACAGGAGTTGTCCACAAGCAACGCTTTAGAGATGAATGTAAAATGACTTGTGTGGAGACAGTCACGCAAACATTATAAAAATGTGTTTACTATTTCTTCCCTGTTGACAGAGCATTTGGGCACTGAGAACAAAAGACTGATTAACCATAAAGCAGGCACATATAAATCATCACTATATTACCCTGGATCATGTTCTCAACATCACATCTCTCTGAACTTACTCTTTCTAGGTCAGTGCCAATAAGATAACAATAAAGGAGACTTTTTTAATACCTTGTGTGTTTTATCGTAGTACACTATAGAAGTATATAAACACAGAGCAAAATTCTCTCAGAATATACCTTTTCCACAACACCTTTTCTAAAATATCCATACTGTTTGTAAAATGCATTAACAGAGGTGCCACTTAACAACATCTTTGACTAAAGTGAGATTTAAGACTCTGGATATTCACGGGCTTTGTACTAAATTTTATAAAGCAAATATTGAGGATATGCAAAAGAAAGTGAAAGAAGTATGAAATGAAGGAAGGAGGAAAAGAAGGAAGGAAGGAAGGGAGGAAGGAAGGAAGGAAGGAAGGAAGGAAGGAAGGAAGGAGGGAGGGAGGGAGGGAGGGAGGGAGGGAGGGAGGGAGGGAGGGAGGAAGGAAGGAAGGAAGGAAGGAAGGAAGGAAGGAAGGAAGGAAGGAAGGAAGGAAGAATAGTGTTGAAATCATTGGAGCAGTTGACAATAATTAATGGAATACAAATATGCAGCCAATACAGAATATCAAAAATTTATTTTCTTACTGTAGGCAGCAATGAGACATCAAATGGTAAAACTGTTAATAGAAGGTGCAGAATGTTAATAAATCTGTGTTAATAACATTGTGTTATTAATGCAGAGTGTTAGTAGCTGATAAGATATATTGCAAGTTTAATTAGGTATTGTACTATTTTAGAGTGATTTTAATTGTTTTTGTTTGTTTTCAGGCCATATCTAGTAAAGCTCTGGATTTATAGCTGACACTGTAGTAGGGATCAGACAATCATATGCAGTGCTGGGAATTGAATCAAGGTTGTCCGAATGACAGGCTAGCGCCTTATCTGCTATGTTATCTCACTAGATAACACTAGTGACTTCCATTATTTTTACTTTGAATTATGTAAAACTATAATGGTGTTAAATTTAGTAATACATAAGTTTCGCATGCAATTTTTAACTGAAAACTAAGAAAACTGGGATAATTAAATGCTATGTGAACAGGAAAGGGCCAGAAAATGAGAGAGAGAAAGAAAATCCACATCCTTATTCCTGAAATCCTACTGTAAAAGATTTTGTAAGGCAGGACATCTTAATAAAAAATGAAAAGTCAAAGCTACCATAAGGCTCTAAAGAAATTAAAAAGGAAGAAAACAACAAAAGCTTAGGCATTAATTAAGAAGTCATCTCTCATGTTAAACTACACTGCGTTGAAAGTTAGTGCAGAGCTCCAAAGAGAGTCCTGGAATCCAAAGTAAATACTTGCAAGCACAGGGGCTCCCAGTTTGCTCTTTGTCAGTGCCTGGTCCCTTGAGCATCTATACCCATTCGTAGCACCTGAAGCTCTGGGCCCTGCTGGGTGACTCTGGCAGTGCTTTGTGTCTCTGGTCTTGAGTAGCCCTGAGCGTTAAAAGTTCTGGCACAAGTTTGTCAAGTGTAATCAAGTGTACTGATAGGGTCCCCTGAGCACTGTCTGATTACCCAAACCAAAAAAATAAATTAAGGGCTGGAGCGATAACACAGTGGATAGGGCATTTGCCTTGCATGCTTCCGACCCAAGTTCAATTCTCAGCATCCCATATGGTACCCCTGAGCACTGTCAGGAGTAATTCCTGAGTTCAGTGCCAGGAGTATCCCCTGTGTATCGCCGGGCATGACCCAAAAAGAAAAAAAATAATTAAAAAAGAGGAAACTAATGTGACTCACATGAACTCACTTGGAAA